TACAGTGTTTGAAAGACTACTTATTTATATGCTTTATAGTAACTATAGGGAAAATATAACGTGTAACGTGAGTGCCAACTGCCTTTGCTGCACTCGAGAAACGTTCCACATTCGCCCACCAGTTACTCAAATAACAATTTCTGTGGCGGTAAGAAATACAGGAAAACTAAATTTGTGATAAAAACTGTTTTTGAATTATTAAAACTACAAGAGATTACTTTTTGAAGTGAAAATGTTACAATGTTACATGTTAGGCTTTTTAAGTGATTTTATTATTACTTGAGGCAATTACTTTAATTTTAATCGTTCATACTGAAACTCAGCTGATACAAATATTGTTTTGTAAAAAAGAAACATGGTATAACGAGAGAGTGCTTCAAACAGAGGTTATCAATTTTTGTCAAATTATCTTTTTATACAAAAAAATATCTTATCTTCTGAGTACAAAAAAATCTGTTTACATCTCCTTTGTTGAGAATATTGAATCTCATGACAACAATTAAAGGAAAATAATTTCATAGTGTATGTGCGCTTCAGTAGATAACGTATGGCTCATCGCTACTAGAATGACGGGTCCAATAACCGGCATATTCACACTCGTTTAATGGACTTAATACTTATATCACTTATATAACTATAACTTAATACAGTACAGTTCTAAGTAGCGTTTTTGATTTCCAATTGAGGACACTGGCGTAAACCCAAAAAGAGATCACACAAAACTCAAACTTACCTCAAGCCTCAAACCTTAAAATTGCAAAACTAATAACCAGACAAAAAAACTTCTTTGTTTTGTTTCAGACTTTTTTAAAGGTCTTTTAATTTGTGATCCTGTGTCCCATTTTCAGGTGTCCTACTTAACCGATTTTTACGATTAAGGTGTGATTTCAAAGCTTTTGATCTAGCAAAGATACCAATGATTTACCTTAGGGTTTTACCCCTCCCCCATAGCGTTTAAGTTATTTATAGAGTTCACTTATGATTTAGTGATGCTGGACAACTTGATTTTTAACGGTTTAAATTTGAATTGTAATTAACAGCTTCAGTTGAACGTTTCACCAGTCAGATTGTAAAGAAGAGACGAAACAGTTTATGAAAAGGGATTTTAAATTGGCTACATTTATGATAATTGTGACCTGTTCAATTATGTTAGATATCACTCTTAATAGTGTACATCAAAAATCGTCAGATTTAATTTATTGTAAATTTCTAGTTTTATTTACCCAAAAATACTGTCCAAAACATAAATAATCTATGTAAAAGTGTATTGCGTTGTATTCGTTTTATTTGATCGAAGCATGTATATAAAATTGCTCAATTTGTGAACGGCCCCCCTCGTATTCATTAAAAATACAGGAATAGTAACAAATCTCATGTGTATACATAAATGAATAATCATTGGTTTGAGTTGGTTTGAGAGTGAAGTCCTGATTAACCTCATTGAAGGAAGAGTTTGCGCAAACAAATATTTGAGACAGCAACGCGGTGGATTTCGCGTAAATTTACCCAACTTTCAGCCACTTCCTGGATTTATAGAACCGTTTACTCAGCAAAGATTATTAATTTAAATGGTACAAATGGTAATTTCTAAAATGACTTACATGTTTATTTTGCAATATTAGTTTTCTCCAGTGATAATTAATTTGTCGTAAATGCAGTATGGTGTTAATATTGGATAATAGACTTGTAGGATAACAAGTAAAATACGTTTACTGTTTCATGCCAAGTTCCGTGAGAATGCGAGGATGTTGAAAAAAGGTTTTTTCTCTATTTTCTACTACTTAATAATGTTCGCTACACTAAAAATATACATTGTTTGATAAAAGTACTAGATAAAAGCAGTAACGTATGAATCATTCTATTATTTGGTTTTGTAATAATTTGTAAGTTATTGAATTGTCAAGACATAAAAAAGTTCATCAATGTACTCAGGAGTTAACAATTTGATGTTAAAATCTTCCTTGGGTGATTAAGATAATCTATGGACGATGGTTTATTAATGACCTGCACAGTGTTTATTCCCATGTTAGCGGCTTATTAGAAATGGGTGAAACTACAACATAATTGGCACATAGGCACATAAGCTATCATAAGTACAAGCACAACAGTTCAGGAACGATATTATCATCAGTTTGTAGTTGGGTTTTCCATTTTTCAATCAACGTTTGTTAATTAAAACGCAGTGGTTTTTAGAGAAAATGTTATAAAACAACAAGGGCTATGCTGTCCTAGGTGTTAGAGGATGAGTGTTATGACACTTAAGTCTTGAAGTTTTGGGTTCAAATAACGCTAATCACCAAAAGCTCACCAGTTGGTTCCTAACGACTAGTCAGTTGATGGTAGTACTAGACACCCCATCCCCATGTTAAATTTGTAGCCAGTTTTTTTTTTACCAAAATCGTCGTATTTGATGTGAGACAACGACAGATTGTAATATACAATCTCTTTTACCTATTCAAACTAATAGAATAAATTATTATTGGGCTATAGCAACTGTTATCAGCAAGAAATAATACGGTAGAAAATAGAGTTTTAGTCACTAGCACATTCTGTGACTGGCTCACACAACTACGTTCTTTTTTAACAAAAAGTTGGCTACAGCTGGTCCATATAGATGGGATGTCTACTTCAGTATCTAATATTCAATGATAGTACTCTACTATATAGGGCTCATACCTAGATATTTTTCTGTACTGGATAACTACCTCCACTTAAAGCCAAACACTAATAGCCAAACAATAAATATATGATGCATTTATTTTGCTGAGTGTGTTCTGAATAAATGGTCTAAAGTTCTTATAAAAATCTATATACAAATCTTAAATCTTAAGTCTTAAGTAATTTTTAAATGTATAAAATACATAATTCTATTTTTGACCAGTTCTGTAAGTGGATTTGTTTTTTACGTAACTACACAAAAATGCAATTCTACATTCTTTTTTGATACGTCACAAGTACTTAACATTGACAAGTGATTTATTCCATAATCTATTTAGAAAAAATAAATAGAAACAAAATGACAGTAATGATTATCGGGAACAAACTAATTGGAATTCCAAACGAGTGTTTTTCTTTACAAAACATCCCGGGGTCGGGGAGATAGTCATCTCCAAACCACGTAGGACAGACACAGTTTGCCGTGTTGATTGGTTTTGTTCCACTTATTTTCTCCGATCGCTGAATCATTAATAGGTGCTGACGACATTGCGGCGTTTTCATTCATTCCCGGTGGTTATTGGTGTTTGGAAATCGTTCGTTAAATGTACTGTACGTACTTGTTTAATTGTACCACAATGACACATAGAGATGTAAAAAATTCATAATAATAATAAATAATACCCCCACAGCAAACCTGTAGAATAACCGAATTTACATTTGCCTGATTTGATTTTCACTTCAATCTACAGTATATAAATAGCATTAGGTTTAATGAGTACATAGGTTTGCTGCTACAGAGGGGGATTTCAATAAAGTGTGCTTTTTCGTAAAATAATAATATATTAGTATAAAATAAATAAATTTGACAAGGATGATCACAATTATCCATAAACAAGCAATCTACAACACTTTACTTATTCTCCATAAGAATATCGTGGGATTTTATTTTTTTTATCTACATGATCATTAAGCGCATCTTAGCACTTCAATATACCGAATTATTTGTTTTTTAAGCTCTAAAAATCTTATTGGAAAGGAATTTCAACATTTTAGCTAATTTCCATATAGGGAAGTAGCTATTACCGTAGGTATCATCGTAAGAATTAGGCCCGTGACCGATTTAATTTTTCATTTCACTGACTATGCATATTTCCTTAGGACCTTTCAATAAAAGCCGGTCAAGGATAGCTAGGACCTATCCATTTCTCAGCATGGAACTGGTAAAGTTTTGATTCTTAAATTACTGCTATAACCACTCCATTAATTTAATACCTTTATGTACTTTAAAATATTAAATACCTATATGAGTCACTGTCTACGCAGTATCATCTAAATAACAACTAGGGGCATGTAGGGACATAAATCTCTAAAAAGCTCAAAATTTAAAATAACTTATTTTCATATTTAAACAAACTAAGAATCAAATCATTTATTTGTCAAGATGGATATTCCTGTACATTATATCTTTGTCTTAAAAGTCTCTCTGCTTTGGTCGTTGTTATCTATACTTATGAAACCCAATGTTCGCCCCTTATGCGTTACTAAACGACCATCCGATCGTGATGACACTTTAGGGAAGTAAACAAATACTATAATACTAAGTAAAGTACATAGTACAAAATGAACAGTGTTTTATTATCCACTTTGAGTAATATTTTATGGTTTTAGGGTTCCATTTCCTAGTTGTCGAAGCCAATATTAACAGTTGACACGACAAATCTTTGGTTTGGTTTTGGGTTTCTAAAAGTCTCAATTATAGATATTAACGTTATCCCTGGTTTTAATATAGTATAGAGGGCATTGCAAAGTTAACTGGTCAAGAAGAAAACCAACTAAGTGTATTGAATACTGCCTTGGAAATATAGCACGATCAATTATATTAAAGTAAACAAAAATCATCTGTACATGGCCTCCAATGCTATTGTTATGGAACACATTTTACGTTGTATCTAAATTTTGGTGAAAGTTTGTGAATTGCACTATTTTCCCCGCCGTCACGGGATAGAGACCTTTAATTTGAGCCCGCTCCCGTCGTTCTACAACATCCCAGTCTCCCACAATTTTGACACAATGAATCGGCTGACGTAATTAATATACAGATTATATATTTTATTTCTGTGAAGTGTCGAATTCTTAAGAATTCAGAAGACGCCATTGTGTTGAAAAGAACTGTTGTGGTTAACATAAATACTACTTATTCAGTCTCATGTGTAACGAAAAAGAATACGATTTTAATATTAAAAAAACTATAACAGGTTGTTTGTTTATATCGATATAACTCATCACAAAATAAATATAACTGGCTCTGAGAATCTAATAAATAAGTGAGAGTAAGTTGTTACCTTGACTTTACGGCATTTTGCAGCCGCGATGGACCTGGACTTCTTTCTCAGTTGCTCCAGAGAGACGTTTTAAGCGATCCGAGCTCATGAACCAACAGTCGCGCCCATGTCACACCCAAATACACCTAGGCCCTGGAACAAACAGACTTTAATGAGATCTTTAGCTGTACAAGTCGTATCACCGTCCTGTAAAAGCTCGTACTTAACCAATACAAGCTTAAAACTATAACTAGGCATATCAGCAAACTGCTGACATTCACCTCCGTTGTAATTTGGCCTTAGCCATTGGCCTACGTTGTGCACCATTCCTATATACTCTCCTTCGTAGTCGCGGTCTTCTCCTAACACGATACATTTCAACACTGCACTACCATTTAAAACAGAAAACTAAAATCATTAAACAAACTAATACGCAATGTTTACATCAGCTGGTATATTTAAAAGCCCTTATAGAAAAATTGTAGCAGTACCACGATTACTAAGCAGTACCATTAGAAAATTACTGTTTCTTTGACGGTCTGTGAGGGAGAGAGGAGGAGTTATTTTTGACACTTCTGATATTTTTTCCACCATCCTTGGACCTTAAGCTTTAAAACGATTCCTCAACAGCCATGCTACCTTTTTCCTAGGTCGAGATATTTCGTGGGGACCAATTCACTTACGGAATTAACAAATAGATAGATAGATATAGAAAGACTTTCTGTTTTAACTGTCCTTAAAAAACAACTAATAGTACTAACGATTTTAGATTTTTACATGTTTTCCATAAGCAAGAATGTTATCAGTTAGTACAATACCCACATAGCTTTTTACAAAATATTCTTATCAATTGGTCACTTTTTTACTTTTGCGATTTAATAATTCGCAATTATTAGTTCGGAAAATATTAGTTCATTATCACTCCTCTGTCCAAAGTGGTAGCCAATATTACAATTACGAACCAATATTACCATTGATTTTCCATAACATTTGACGGGCTACCATTTCGGATAGAGATGAAATAGCAAACTCTGGTTTTCACCATTCTTTCATTTTTTGTAAACACTTTAAAATAAGGTGTCACTTGAAGGGGGGGCTACATTTAAAAGTTTTAAACTGCCCCTAAATACTCCCTTTATTTACAAATTTCAAAATATTAAAATGAAACTAAGATTGCATGAATACCAAAAGGATATTTCTGTATATTTACTTAGAAAAATATTAGATAGGGGTATTGACTTTTTATTCATCACTGTATGTCGAAAATATATTTAATTAGCACTATACTTACAACATCTTCCTTTTAACTACTTTAACATTTTCAATTCTTTTCCTCGGACTTCACTTTAAAAACATAACTTTGTAAGATGAAAATCGTGTTAACTACTATTTCCTGTGACTAACTGGAACCAAAATAATTGGAATCCAAATCGATAAGATTATGTTATCGATATAGAAGGATCGAGGTCAAATGTATGTATTGCCTTTGACTATTGATACAACAGTATCCAATAATCAATGATATTACGCAGTGAAGAGAACAAGAATTCGTTTCAATTTAATTATTATTCCCATTTTAATCTACACAAATACGATTTCATAACACATAGATTTCCATAACGTTTGTGATACCTTGAGCCTTTGCTATTTTGTTCTTAATGTGGCCACATGTTGAGTTTCTATTCAGTTCCAATGTTTTTTTGTTTACATTTAAATTTATGGGGGTTTTAATAAACGTTTTATAATTTGATTTAAAGTAAAATATTAGTTTTACGTAAGTCTTATATCATTAGTCTTAATTTATATGTTTAGACTTTGGGGGATATGAGTTTTCATTTTTGTATAAACAATAGTTTCATTGAAAATATTACAAGTGTATGATTAATTTTGTGATTGAAAGTACAGCACACCAACAAGCTTAACATGTTGTTCTTTGATTTTTTTTTAATAAATACGAAACTAATTCATCATCATTTATGTAATATAGCTAGTTCAAAGTAGTAGTCCGGTGAACCATAATTATTTTTGAAGAAAATGTATAGGTAGGTTCATATATAGTTATTTGTGTAACTAGTGTGGCAAAGGCAATTTGCGCTCGTGTTTCACATTATATTTTTCCTACAGTTGGTATAAAGCATATAAATACCTAGTCTTTCAAACACTTTACAACAATTTTTTAGGTTCGGTTAAATCCAAGCGTTGAACGTAATTAGAAACACTGCATCAGCTGATCGTAGTTGTAGTATCTTTAAATGCTGCCAACTTATTTCCAAGCGTACACGTATTGCTTGCCTTATAAAATTAAACTGTTTTGTATTGTTTGATTGGAATACTGGAGTGTGAAAAACAAAAAGAGTGCGGCAAAAGTAAATGCAGCAATTAGCAACATTCTTTGCCATAATCAGTGCAAGGAATCCCATTTTATCAAGTGACTGTAAGAAAACGTGTTTTGTTCAAAACTTGTTTCAACCAAGCAACTTTATTGAACAATAAATTGATGATCAAACACAAACCCTTGAGCTACGCTTTGGTTTGTGTTTTAAAGTTATAATCGATTCTAGCGTTGTGTTGACAGTGTTGAAGTTACAAAGGAAACTTTATACACCACACAAACATTTACCTAAATACCTTTAGAGAAATATTGTAATGTCCAGGTGGCATTGTATAAACGATACCAAAATGTTGGTTTAAAATGTTTTATATTAAATAAATGTTCTAAACCCTTTATATTTCTTTAATTGTGTTTTAATATTATTGATCAAATTTATTTATATTGAAAGAATGAATTCGAAACCGAAGATTAATCTGTGTAGACAGAGAAACTTAATAAAATGTTTGTGACAACCAACACAATTTCAAAATTTTTAATGTATATAACATTTTTATAAATTTTATATTTAAGTATATTACTTGAAATAATATACTCACAATTCAGTGCGAGTAAGAACAAATTATATCTCAAGTTTCTTAAGTTAACGATGCAATCTACTTTAATCTATGCTATGGAGGGATGCCTGGTTAATGATACTTAGGGGTTCACCCATTGGTATTGAACAAGGTTTAGTTACTTAAGTGATTAAATGTAACAAGATATTCGAGATTATAAACTTAGAGGTCTCCACCGCATTCCAAATAGAGTCTTATATAATTCAAAAGGCGTTTTTTTGTTTGTGGTTCTTTAATTAATTGCAAAGTTTTACTTGTTAATCGACGTGGGTAAAAACATATTTAATTTAAATTTAATTGATTTAGAAATAATTTATAGGGGTGTGGTTTAACTACTGTAAATATATTTTCAATGAAATTTGAGTATATTAAAAAGACTTTTTGTAGCCTATATCAATTTATTAAGTCCATGATAGGACAGAATTTCTTTTGTGGTTAAAAACCAATGGTACTTTAGTTTAACATTTTTAAGCGTAAAATAAAAAAGTGAAAAGCTGCATTTGCTGTGTAAAATTTTAAACATTACGTGAAATGTTGCCAGTAAACACCATTTGAGCAAGAACGTGTCACTTAATGAGTCCATTGTATGTACAAGTGACAGGAAAAATGTGTAATTTTCTTTTAAACATTTAGTCTTGAATTTAAAATCATGGCTGGCAGAAGAGCCATTTATCTAACATTTGTCTTTTATTTAAGTTGTCTTAGTAATATCAAAGTAAATAATTCAAAATTTCTCTTATGCTTTTATTATAAAAGTAAGACATAAAATAGTATATTTCTTACCTAGGGCCAAAAATGAGGTTTTGGTGGCTCGTCTCAAACTTATTGAGAGCTGCAAACCCCTTTTGGTCCATGGCATGAACAATATTTTTCAACACACTGTACATTATTGAGAAAAATTATACAATAAATGCACACTAATTGTCAACACAACTAAAACTTAAGATTATGGGAAGAAATATTTAAAGAAGTCAATATAAAAAATAATAAATAGTTGCTATTCAGAACAATAAAATAAGTCTATTGCAATGCACTGCTTGTGTATGTTATAGGAATGTACACATCTGCTCGGCCCCCAAATGACGATGACAGCTGGCATAGACAGCAAAACGTAGCTTCCAGCCTCCAAATAACGTTTATAAAACATCCAAAAACATCATAGTGTGGTGAAAAGTAACATAAAAGCTACCACAGCACACATTGTCAAAAGTAAAGAGCTACAAATACTCAATAGACCTACTTGAAAAAACCCAAAAAAAAATCTTTTTGAAAATGTAACAAAACTGTGAGTGATCAATGGCTATAACTTAAGCTTTGTTATTTATTACTCTACCAATGAAAGAAGTCTTATCTGTCCTGAAGTTTCTTTTCATACGGCCTGATCGAAGACAACATTTATCAAATCTGCTACATTTCATTATTGTAATGTAAAGTACGACTTTCATTAATTATTCATTTTCATTAATTGATTTCTTTTTAAGATTTTCTTCATTTATAAAGGAGTCAAAGTATATACAACAAATATTTAGAAAATATAGACATGTGATTTTACTTAGCAAATTTAGTTTTCTGAAATTTCTTTAACATGGATTTTATTTCTTTTTATGTTTTGTAAATCCTACAGCCTTTAGCCAAAACAACACTAACTTATTATAGACTTTGGTGCAGAATTAAACCAACATAATTGTATAACCAGCCTTTTCAATTAAAAACCTGAATGAGTTGAAAATTTGAACAATTTATGCTTATAGATGAACAACTTCAATTAAAAATATATAAAACAAGAAATTTAATGTATTCAACTTCTGTAGTTAGAATCAGTTTAGACTAAGTATACTGTTGAAAGGAGCCCTTTTGTAGGATACAAGAATCAAACTAAATAAGTATATTTAGTTATTTATCTCTTATACGCTATTAACCGAGATTGTAATAATTCCTTAGGAGTAAAATGTACTTCTTCGTTATAATGATTTTGCTCAAAACTAAAAAGGTGTATTCAGTTTTAACTATATAATAAAAGTTTAAGATATGTTTTTATAACAGAGTGTAAGCCTTGAATTATGAAGGATTTAAAATGTCTTTTAGTTCTGATTAAAATTATTTTATATTATAACTTGTATATTATTTTATACTGTAACAAATAAAGCTCCACGTGTATAAGAGAAATTTTTCATTAAAAATACATACAGTCTGTGACAAAGAGCAAG